AATGAATATGATTTGCAGTGGGGGTAGAGCTTGGCAGCGTTTTTTGTCTCTCCCTTTGGCTGGTAAAATCACAAGAAATGGGACGAATGTGCATGTACAGGTTGCAGAATGGAGATTTTCTCGTTGCAGAATGTAGATTGTTGGCGTGAACGTAGCTGTTTCGAATGGCTAGAATGGTTAGCTTTCTTTCTCTTGCGTAATCTGTCATGAGTTGCAAACCATGAGTATTTTGGGGGGGGGGGGTTTGCTGCAGCCTTAGATCTGTATCTCCTGCCAACCTAGCAGTTTGAAAGCAAGAAATTGCAAGTAGATAAATAGGTACCGCTTCGGTGGGAAGGTAACAGAGTTCCATGCGCCTTGGTGTTTAGTCATGCCGGCCACATGACCACGGAAATGTCTTCGGACAGCGCTGGCTCTTCGGCTTTGAAACGGAGATGAGCACCGCAACCCTAGAGTCGGATTCGACTGGCTTTCGAGCAAGGGAACCTTTACCTTTACCTTTAGATCTGCATGGGTGATTCTCTCCCTGTTTCACAGAGAAATACTCTCTTGTTTTCTCTTCGTTCTCCATCCCACCTCCATAGGTCTCCGATGCCGTGTATAGGATGGTTTATGACCAGACGAGAGCCAGTTACGACGCAGCTGTGACAGCATGTGAGCATCAGCGTCCCAGCATGCAAAGCACCATCCGCACAGATATGGACCAAATTATCCAATCGAAGGAGCACTTGGCCAGCAAAATTAAAGGTAGGGGGCAGAGAGCTGCTTGCTAGGGGAGGTGCTATCAGGTCTCGTTCCACTCTTGGTGTAGTGGTTAAAAGTGCAGACTCTAATCTGGGAGAACCGGGTTTGATTCCCCACTCCTCCATATGCAGCTGGCTGGTGTGACCTTGGGTCAGTTACAAGTTATTTCAGAGCTGTTCTCCTAAGGGCAGTTCTCAAAAGGGCTCTCTCAGCCCCACCTACCTCACAGGGTGTCTGTTGTGGGGAGGGGAAGGGAAAGGAGATTGTAAGCTGCTCTGAGACTCCTTCAGGTAGTGAAGGGTGGGGTATAAATCCAATCCCCTCCTCCTCTTCTTCCTTGCTTGTTCACCCAGCATCTGCATTTCCAATGTAAGGGAGAACAGAGCAAAATCCATTTTGAGGCCAGGGCAAAACACCTGCCCGGCTTCACCATGGAAGAGTGGGAGTGGCTTGGACATGCATTGTATGTGAGATGTCCTGCAGCTGGATCCATCCTAACCTCCCTGCTGCTTCCTTCCCTGACCAGCCTGTGTCCTTTCCAAAGCTGAGATATGCGTGCGCAACCACGTCCAGCCTTACATCCCTTCTATCCTGGAGGCGCTGATGGTTCCCACCAGCCAGGGCTTTGCCGAGGTGCGAGAGGTCTTCTTCAAGGAGGTCACGGACATGAACATGAACATCGTCAATGAAGGGGGAATGGATAAGCTGGGGGAGGTAAGACTCGTGGCTAGAAGAGCATGGTGGAGGAAGCACGATGGGGACTGGAGGTCTAGAGGGGGAGGGTATCGCGAAGTGGGCTTCTGTTGGGTATTTACTATAGCAGAGTAAAAGAAACACAGCACACACCTGTGTATTCACCTTAAGAGATAATAGTTTACTAAGTAGTCAGGAAAAAGGGAACTGGGAGATCAAAACAATAAACATCCCGTCTAGCTTTCTGATCTACATCTTGTCTCTATGACTGTACCTCGTGTCTGTGTGCCCCAAGCAAGAGAGAGAACAAAGGCAGTAAAAGTTATCCAAAGCCAGTTTGGTGTAGTGCTTAAGTGCGCGGACTCTAATCTGGGAGAACCGGGTTTGATTCCCCACTCCTCCGCTTGCACCTGGCTGGATGACCTTGGGCAAGTCATAGTTCTGATAAGAGCTGTCCTTGAAAAAGTACAGTTTCTGTTAGAGCTCTCTCAGCCCCACCTATCTCACAGGGTGTCTGTTGTGGGGAGGGGAAGGGAAAGGAGTTTGTAAGCCGCTCTGAGACACCTTTGGGTAGTGAAGGGCGGGGTATAAATCCAATCTCTTCTTCTCTTCTTCTTCAAAGCCCCCGCCCCTGGCATATCCTCAGTCGAACAATTAGCCAATAGAGAATTCCAATACCAACTCATTACGAATATTGCCACCTTCTCTATTGGCCCTTGGTTAACTAGGAATTACGTAACCAAACATGTTAACTCTTTCATGAAATCAGGGAGAGAACTTGCACACGTATCCCAACAGCCTGACTGACAGAAGGCTGGACAGACCACATCAAAAGGGGCAGGGTGAAGACTTTTCCGGTTTTCGGCGACTCACGAATGAATGCACTCCATTGAGCTCCGATGGGTGCGATTCGGATCAAGGCGGCAGGGAGGGGGTTCGGAAGCCTTCGATCCCCCCCTGAAGCTCTTGTAGGGAGCTTCTAGCCCTGAGCACTGGAGGAGCCGCTCCCGAAGCCACAGCTGAAGGATTGAGGCTCCTTCTAGGTCCTTAAGGTCCCGCTGCCCCGAGACCAGCAATGGCGGGCGACCAGAGACGTTACTGGACCAGAGCGCGCAAGGACTTAAGCAAAAAGACTCTCCCTACGGGATGACATCCAGGAAAAAAAAATAGTGAGTGACCAAATTTCAAAAGAAAGACAAAAGTAAAGAGGGTAGAGGAACTGACAGTGACACGGCAAAACCCCATAGAGAAAGGGGGGGACTCTCGGGAGAAAGAACCCTACCCTACAGCGCAAAAAGCAGCGAAATGGGAAACAAGCCAACAATAAGCTGTTAGAAACCCACCCAACCCAAGCGGATCGCAGCGGGGCTCGTTATTCAGTCCAGAGAGAAACCTTAGAACTTTTAAGAACTTTTACCTTAATGTAAACAATGTCACAGCGAGGGGTGGAAATGGCGTCCAGAGGCAGAGGCACCACAGGAAGCACCAGTACAGCATCACCCGTCACAAGACCGGAAACTACCACTGATTTAGCTGGTACAATCTCTGAAGCCTTGCGCCCCCTGCTGGATCAGCTGATGAATCTCAATAAGAAATTTGATGATTTGCAGAAGGAGCTGAAGGAGACCAAAGACAAATCAGAGTAGATGGTCAAAAAGCTAAAAAAAGGTTGAAACTAAGACCAAAGAGATGGGTCAAAGAATGGACATTGCTGATAAAGAAAGAGCTTCTGAAAAGCAACAATTACTACAATTGCAAGTGGAAAGATCCCTATATGTTTTAAGAGTTCAAGGGGTACCAGAAAAAAAAGATGAAAATTTAAGAGAAATCCTAAGGGAAGCATTGGCCCCCCCCCCCCCTCTGCAAACCTGAAATATTGGAAGCGGACACAGACATGATTTATAGAACTTATCCAGAGTTTGTGAAAAAAAATAATCTTCCAGGGAAAATATTTGTTAAATTTGCAAAAATATCAACAAGAGACTCGATACTTAAAGCTTCTACTGCCACAACATTAAAAATCCAAGAGGAAGAGATAAAAATACTGAAAGATGTTCCATTCGAAATATGTAAGAAGAGGAAGCAATGCAGAAACATCACAACATTCCTTCAAAAGAACAATGTCCAATACCGATGGATTTTACCAGAAGGTCTTATATTCAACTACAAAGAGAAGAAGGAAAAGATTGACTCTCTCTCTAAAGCAGAAGCATTCCTGAAGCAGCATCAAACTCCAACAAAAAAAAAGAAAAGAAGCAGAGGAAAAGAAGGCGACAGAAGAAAACAGTGATCATCAGGCGTCAGCCACTGATAGTTCTTCATCTACTTCGGTGTCCCTGGGTGAAATCTTTGACTCTGACTTTGATTCTGATTTGGGTGCTGCTGCACCCAGATCTTATAAGGTTAAAATCCCCTGGCAAAAGAAGAAGAAGCAGCACAAAGACAAGAAGATATCCAAATGAAGATCTGAGATTTTTCTATGGTAGACTTTAAAGAATTTATATTATTGCCCATATGCGATACAAAAATTAAGATTTTTTTTGCTCTTTCTATTTGAATACTTATTACTTAGAAATTAAATGGTATATTGTAAACATGAACTTGTTTTTGGAAACATCCAAAGCGCAAGATAGATCATTACTGTACCTTGCTACGCTGAATTTGTAGTCTGTAGATTTGTAGTTTATAGTGAAAAGCAATAAAACATTTATATAAAAAAGGGGAGCAGGGTGATGATTGGTACTCTCGAAGGGGTAGTAGCAGTGCAGGCAGGCTCACTCTTATGTTTTGGTTGGGATGGGCAACTAAATCTGTAACTGTAACTAAATTGTTGATTCATCCATTATAGACAGATGTGTGTAGATCGTTTTTACCCAGGATCTGTGCCTCATTGGTAGAGCATCTGCTTGGCATGCAGAAGGTCCCAAGTTTAAACCTGAACATTTCCAGTGGGAAAGATCTGGCAGTAGGTGATGGGAAAGAGCTCTGCCTGAGACCCAGGAGAGCCACGGCCAGTCTGAGCAAACAGTGCTGACCTTGATGGACCGAGGATCTGATTCAGTCTAAGGCAGCTTCATGTGTTCATGTATTCTCTCACCTTCCAAGCTGTGTATGTGATATTAGGTTTTTTCAGGGCTCTTTTTGTAGAAAAAGCCCAGCAGGAACTCATTAGCATAATAGGCCACACCCAACAGCAGAAACGCATTAGCATATTAGGCCACAGCCCTGACAGCACAGCTTATTAGCATATTAGGCCACACACCCATGTTACTTATTCTGTTGACCTTGTTTGTGGTCAAAACCCAGGGCTTTTTTTGTGGCAGGAACTCCTTTGCATGTTAAGCACTACCCCTAGTGTAGCCAATTCTAATGCGTTTCTGCTGTTGGGTGTGGCCTATTACGCTAATGAGTTCCTGCTGGGCGTGGCCAACTTGGGGGCCAGCCGGAACTCCATTCCTGTGCGTTCCTGCCCAAAGTTTGGAATCTGTGGCATAGCCATGTTTCCTTTCTCAGTCGTATTTCACTGGAGCCGCCTTAGACTGAATCAGACCCTTGGTCAGCACTGTCTGCTGAGACTGGCAGCAGCTCTCCAGTGTCTCAAGCAGAGGTCTTTTGCATGACCTACAACCTGGTCCTTTGAACTGGCGATGCCGGGGATTGACCCTGGGACCTTCTGCATGCCAAGTAGATGTTCTACTGCAAACAACAGCTCCTCCCTTGGGGGGGGGGGAACAATGAAGAAAGCAGCCGTGATGTATAATGAAAATTTTCTTTACATGCTTCAGTGTTTCATTGAAGAGGGAAGAATGTTTTGTGTTAACGTTCATGGGTTAGAATGGTTGATGTGTAAACCGATGTTATTCACGCAGCTCACGTAGATAAAGCGGTTATGTGAAACGGGAGTATATGCAAATTCCGTTAGTGTGGATGCGTACATCTTGTTGATGAAATACTACTCTCTGCAAAACACCAGTCTAAACATATATTTGCATTATACATCACGGCTGTTTTCTTCATTGTTTGCATTCTTTCCGTGATCTCTCTGTTGTTTCTACCTCCCTGGGGGGAGTCAAGTTAGAAACCAGCATGCATTCACAAATCATGCAAGCAATAAATTGGTGTCAGGCTCCTCTTTGGGCTCTCCAGAGGTTTTACCTTGTTTCCCAAAGAATGAAGTTGGGGATACCAGACTCTGAACCCCCGCCTGGCTGCAGCTGTGGGCTGGCAAGAAAGGGGCTCTGGCGCTTGCTCTTGTTGGCAGAGACAGCAGCAGTGTGGTGGTGAGATGCCTTCAGGAGGCGTTTTGGAGGGCAGCTTGTGGAGACAATCTCAATGCCTAAATATCATTCTAGATTTTCAAATGTTGCCTGAAGCAGGATCCAGGGGCAGCCATGGTTACATATCAAGCCCCTTCAGAATTTGTGCTGCCTCTGTTTTCTGGCCTGGTGGCTTGACTATGACAATCTTTTTGCCTGAGAAGGAATCTCAAAACTTGAATGGCACTTATGTCGGAATTCCCACAGGAACTGTAACTAAATTGTTGATGGTGCCACTTATATGTTCATGAAAGAGAGAGGTTCTGGCACTTCTATAACGTCGTGAGAGCCCTGGTGGGTCAGACCAAGATCTAATCCATATCTCGCCTCCCGTGGGTCCAGGCACCATGCTCCCAGGAAGGTAACAGCCTTCTCTTGCTTTTACGTGAGCAGCTGCTATTCAGAGGTAGACTCCTTCTGAATATGGAGGCTCTATTTGGCCATCATGAACAAACGCTCAGAGGCCAGGCAGCGTCCGCTTTTGCAAGGTGACACTCAGGTCTACTTGGGTTCCCATTTCACTTCCCTAACTGTACACATTGGCTGGCTTTGGTCTCTCCCTAGCCCTTGGTATGTTGGACTTGCCTCTGAACCCTGAAGGCTTTGTCAACCTTGCCTCTTTCCCCTCTTTTTTTTTTTTACCTCTTCAGTATATGGCCAAGCTTTCCCAGCTGGCTTTCCACCCAGTCAGAATGCAGCCCTGCTATGAGAAGATGGACCAGTTGAAGCTGGAAGGGCTGCAGCAGAGATTCGATGTGTCCAGTGCCTCGGTGTTCAAGCAGCGAGCTCAGATCCTGATGAGGCAGGTAGGGAATGCTGGAAGGACAGTTTTGCTGGATCGCAAGGAAGGTTCATTTCATTCAGAGCCTTCTGGCCTGCCACGTGGCCTTTGGGAGTTTGGTGTCATGGTTAAGTGCGCGGACTATAATCTGGGAGAACCGGGTTTGATTCCCCACTCCTCCACTTGTACCTGGGTCAGTCGCAAGCTCTGGCTCAGCTATCCTTGAAAAAGAGCAGTTTGTGTCAGAGCCCTCTCAGCCCCACCCACCTCACAGGGTGTCTGTTGTGGGGAGGGGAAGGGAAAGGAGTTTGTAAGCCACTCTGAGACTCCAAGTGAAGGGCGGGGTATAAATCCAATCTCTTCTTCTTCTTCTTCTTCTTCTTGGGGAGCCCAAAAGCGGGGTAGCGATGCGAAGGGCCCTCTCTTGTCTGCCCCATAGAAACTTGAATTCAGGTTCTCTGCCTCTTCCAATGGAATATTAACCTATTCCCGTGGTTAACAGCTGCCAGTAAACGCAATCTCTGAATGTGTCACATTCCCCTTAGAAGTCAGTGCTTGACACCACAAACTGATTTAATCTAGCAATGAATGTTGCTAACATGACTATAGTTTCAGGTGGGTGGCCATGTTAGTAGAAGATGAAAGACAAAATTAGAGTCCAGTAGCATCTTAGAGACTGGCAACAGTTTCCAACGAGTAAACTTGTGCAAGTCGGATCTCATTTCAATAGATACTGTATCTGCATCCAATGAAGTGAGTGAACTTTGACCAAGCTTTATACCCTGGGAAATGTTGTCTGTCTCTAAGGTGCTACAGGACCTGAATTTTGCTCTGCTATTGCTGGTATCGTTTCTTGCAGTTGCATCTTGTCTGTCTTCCCTCATGGAACCCCGGGGGATGGAGGTCAGCTGCCCAGGAGGCCTCCCAAACAGGCCTTGACCCTGTGCCAGAGCCGCTTAGCTTCAGCAAAGGTGCAGGAGCTGGGGTCCCCGAACCTGCCGCGGGGACACTTGCCCTCTGTGTAACCCAGCGTTTTGTCTGTACCGCCAGTCGGTTTTATTGGATGTCCCAGGAATGTCACTTTTATAGGGAGAACCTGTTTTGCACCTGATTGGGGGTAGGGCAGGGGCTGGGAATGTCTTCCTGCTTGCAAAATATCCTCCAGTTTGAGAACAGTGTAGTTGACACTTGGCATTGAACTGCCTTCCCTTTGGCCCTGCAGTAGGCCGTGAGTATGCCACCATCGCCCCTAGTGGCTGGGACCATTTTGTGCAACACATTTCTCTGTGTGTGGTGGCTTGTTTTAGGTGGTCTTTTTTTGGACCAAAAGGGAGCCTGGACAGCCCCCCCCCCTTCACCTTCCTCAAGGTTTTTTTTAAAACCTGTGGGGGAAATATGGAGAAGCTACAGGGACTCTCTGGGCTGGATCCTGTAGATCTGTTTTGCCAGTACCGGCAGCTTTCCTTCAGTACAACCAGTGCCTTTTACTGGTACTCCTCTTGCACCACCCGACAGCCACTGCAGAGGATTCAGTGATATCCAGGTGGTGGGAAGAGGGAGTTGCTAAAAACGGGGACTTTGTCTACTTTCCTCCATAACATCACATGCAGCTTACTCATGTTGTGATGTCTCTACATTCTCTTCCCCCCCCTCATTTTCATGTCTAGTTATTTGGCTGCCACTGGCAAGGGGCAGGGAAACACATGCACAGTATTGTGACATCCAGATACGGGCAAGTTGAATTAGCTAGTTTGGTGTAGTGGTTAAGAGTGGCAGTCTCTAATCTGGGAGAACCGGGTTTGATGCCCCACTCCTTCACATGCAGCTGGCTGGTGTGACCTTGGGTCAGCCACAAGTTCTCTCAGAGCTGTTCTCTCGAGCAGTTCTCAAAAGAGCTCTCTCAGCCCCCACCTACCTCACAGGGTGTCTGTTGGGGGGAAAGGGAAGGGAAGGAGATTGCAAGCCGCTCTGAGACTCCGAGTGAAGGGTGGGGAATAAATCCAACTCTTCTCTTCTAATGTAGAGATGGAAGAGCAGATTGGACATGGGGCTGCCATTTGTGATGTGTATTGTGCTGTAGTGCATTATGAGGCATCAGCTAAGCCCCTGGGACCTGTGTGGACTGAAAGTGTGCATGGAAGAGTGAGCATTTCCTATGGTCATGCTTTGGCCATGGGCCTTCCCTCTAAACTACATCAGTCCCTCCTGATCCCCTCTCTCTGAGCAACCGCTTCTAAGCCTTCCAGGAATGGCCCAGAGCCAGGGCTCAGCAGCAGATGATCCAACATCTGTTGGAGGCAGCATTCCACCTGCCCTGCTGGTTACCTCTAACCACTTTAGGAACTGGCTCCGGGTGTTGGGAGAGTCATCTTCAACTACCGTCACAGGGCAGCCTGCCCTTATGGCCACTCTTCACCAACGCTTCTTTTTGTTGTCACTGTAGCAAATGGACGATGCCGTCTACACCTTTGAGACCCTTCTTCATCAGGAGCTGGGGAAAACAGCGGACAAGGATGAGCTCTGCAAGACGATCCAGCGCATCCTAGAGCGGGTGCTCAAGGTAGGATTGCCCCTGGGCCTTCGATACCATCGCGCTGAAGCCAGATCCAGCGGACGGTCTGGCTCCTGAAAGAGGACGGCGGCCCCCCCCCAAATGGTGTGTCCCCATTTAGGAAGCCCATAAAGGTTCCGTGTGTTAATGAGGCCCTGTGTGGTGTGGAGAGCAGTGCAACCTGTCTCCCTTTCTTCTCCACCTGGGACTCTGGGATTGTCGTGTGAAACGGTTTCCCCTCTCTTCTCCCTCCCCAGAAATACGACTACGACAGCAGCACAGTGCGGAAGAAGTTCTTCCGGGAAGCCCTGCAGCAGATCACCATCCTCCTGCTGAAGAAACTGGCGCCCACTTGCAAGGGGGTAAGGAAAAGCTGCTGTGGGGGAGCCCCCTTTCCCGCTTTGCTTGGGAGCCCAGGTGGAGCTTGTGGGCAGAGCAGGGTCTTGACGTGCAGGGTTTCTGGGCACTTCCCCTCCCATGGCTCCTACCAGCCTTGCCAGTCCAGCCCAAATATCCATCTAGTTTCTTAACAGTGAGCAGCCAGAGACAGGTCTGAGAGCTCAGAAATGGTACTGCTTGTGGTCACGTTGCAAAAAGAAGAAGAAGAAGAAGAAGAAGAAGAAGAAGAAGAAGAAGAAGAGGAGGAGGAGGAGGAGGAGGAGGAG